TTGAGATATTTTTGACTCTTTGGTCATATACCAAATGGCTCAGTTTGACTCGACGAGATTGGAAAAATTCTGTATATATGTGTGTCTGCACGTTCGTTACTCACTGACTTTTCCTGATTTGAATGCAGCAAATAAAAAAAAATAATATAAAAATGAATATACAAAAATATATATCTGGTTCCAACCAACAGTGTCAAATTTTGCAATAAAACAGTAACAGTAACCAGTGCTGATAAACAGAATTTCCTCTACATTCAAAATAGCTGAAAATCGAGGCAACCTAGGAAAAATAAACCAACTATCTGCAACACTCCCGTCATCAAGGCAACCGCTGAGTTTTGAAGTCAACATCTGTTTATGTGCATTGTAGGATTGGGCGATCCTCAAAGAAAGATCAATCTTGACGGATCGATTTTAAATTTGGCTTTAGAATCGATCCACTGATTAAATCGGTACCAAAAAATCAATCTTTGGTAGGTCGATCTTTTGATTTTTTGTTAATACTTTTGTTTACGTTGGTACCCTAAGAAATTATTTCCTCTATAATATTCAATTAAATTTGACGTGACGGTAAGGATCAATGAGCACAGAAGGGAGGTAGAACAAACCTTCAAATGTTGTTGTATTCGTTAATATCGGAAACGCAAATAGGGACGCCATTGTAGGGAGCGATCCTGATTACTGATTAAATTTATTACGCAGTCTGAGGTGAGAGTAAATTAATTTTCGATCTAAAAACACTTTCGATCTAAATATTTAATACCTCACAAAATTTAACACCATTTTTTTTAAAGATCGAAAAGATCGATTTTTTTGATTTTTTCGTGGACAAAGAATCGATCCAAAAAATCGGAAATCGCTATGAAAAATATCGATCTTCCAAAGATCGATCCAAGATCGCCCTCTCCTAGTTCATCGTCAGCTATTTTGTTGTCATATCAATATTGATAATCGACTTGGTAGGGATGATTTTGAGCATCAAATGCAACATGATTATTTCCTTTTTCACAAATGTTGCCAATTCCGGAGTGATTTAAGATTTGGGCGTAATTGCTTTTGTAAACAAACACGTCAATTGCTGATTTTTGTTGAAGAAAAGCTCAATCTCACAAACAAACTATACCAAATGATAGAGGAATCATTCTTCTACCTCATAGTGTTATTACTTTTCGAGATTGAGCTTTTATTCGCGAGAAATCGGTGATTGACGTGTTTGTTTACAAATGCAATTACGCCCAAATCTCAAATCACTCCGGAATTCAGAGAATAATTAGCATTTGGCGTCAGATTTGACAACCGAAATTGACAATCGTCACTGACAGCCAATGCTGTTGAAACGATTTAATCTTTGAAGCACTGAACTGAAAATATTCGCAGAAGGCCATGTCCTCATGACAACGCGAAAAGCTTTGCAAACCAACAATAACCGAAATTCGAGTAAAAATCGGAGAAAATTTAGTTTGTGGGCGGATTTATAGCCTTACAGCTGTGTCATCTCAGATTTTCAACAGTTAAAAAGTAGGAAATAAAGAGCTAAAACGTTTTAAATACAAATTGATGTAGTCGATAATCGAGCTGATAAACCAGTCACCGTGTTCAACCCACCAATCATGCCTATACATACACCGGAAGTTCATCCTGCATTTTAGCGAAGACATCATATCAAGAGGACTGGAAACTTTGCCAGAATCCAAGCGACAGATACAATAGCGCTGCGCTTGAGTGAAGGTGGAAGCAACGCATAGAAAAATGAGCAAATACACAAACCTTTATTCTGAGGATATAATCTTTGCTATCAAATTCGTTCGAAGCATTTACCTTTGAGCGGCAAATGACGCGATTGTACCTGTCTCATAGCGTTCGTATGAGTAAATGAAAGAGTTGCCAGGCTTCTTGATTTGTTGTCTTCGATTTTAGCCTGCAATCTAGTCCAATAAGGTAAACCGGATAAATGGTAAGAGCGATCCAGCTATACTTAATACGTTCAAAGCTGGTAATCAAGCTATCTAGCAGGTCAGATACTCTCAAACTTTCAAACATTCATTCATGGTTAAATGCTTTGAGGTCTTTGATATCCGCAGAACCTCACAAAATAGGTCAGGACATACGGTTTAAGAATTAATAATAGATTTTTGAGCAAGTTTTAAATTGGCTCACTACTTGACTACCTATTGGTCCCAAGCAAACGATTAACGTATCCCATTCTAGTCGAAATTCTAGTACTACACAATGTTTGTTTTGATTCGCTATGAAATTTTGACAGATAAAATGAGGGGTTATTGGATTTTCCTATGTTTCGAGGGGTGAATCGACTAGCTTGGGACCGAAGATAGTACCAGAGCTGAGCCAAAAAGTTGAGCTCGTTTCTTCGGGACCTTCTGGTCTTAGAGTTACCTATATGCTATTACTGTCCACACTCAGATCGATGGAAGATTATTGCCTTATGCAGAGTTGATGATAAATTTGAGGTTCGAGGCTCTGAGATCGGTAGTATATTAAAAATGAATTTGATTTGTTTGATTGGAAACTCAAGCATCAACAAACGTGTATTCTTCGATGGATAATGAACTCATTTGATCATTTCACTCGTATGATTTTCAAAACAGACGCAATTAATCTACACTTGGTTGAAGCACTAGTCATTGCATGTGATGGAACATGACTAATGACACCAAGAGGCAGGTCACTCCACACACCAATCTTGGGTCATCTTTTTTGTCAGTGTGCCGCAGGTGTGCCGATTGTGCCGGTCATAGAGCAAGCTGCGATTGTTTGTAAAATACCCATCCCGGCAATTCGGTATTTCTGACACCTTGAATGTTTGGTTTGAAATCGCAATGATAAATTGGATTGAGGATGACGCGGAAAGTGGCGGGTGTGCGAAATTTTGGTGTTTTGTTTTCTCAAAATAATAAAAGTCCTATGTTTTAGGGTTTTATAATGCCCTCAAAGGCAGACCAGAAACCTAGCCTTACGTGATGCGAAAGCATTGGTCTATCAGCGACCGGAAAGAGTTGGAACCGGTGGGGAACATTGCTGGAGACCGACTTTAGAGGATGATGAATAGTCTTCTGTAGTTTGTCTGGTGTGAGTGGCAGCATTATTTGAATTAAAGGTACTAATGGGGTCTGATTAACTGCCTCTTTCTCTTGTGTCCCTACATTTCGTATTTAGATATATAAGTAAACTGCTGATCAGAGTTCCTCTGGTATATTCAATTAGAGTATGTTCCTGCATATACAGTCAAAGAGCACGTAATGTTGTGAACAACTTCAATTAAAGTTGCACAGCAGTGCTCCCATTTTATTTACAACAATCCAATGCGTACGGAATTGTGGCGAAGGTGTGCCGATTGATGTGCCCAAGCTATTCTGAATTAAATTTCGGTATAATGCGCTGAGTAACTTACCCCTTGGATGACACTGATACTCACTCACTTTTCTCGGAGATGGATGAACCGATTTGAGTACCAGTTCCATGTTGATTGTGTTTATCTCTTGTCAAATCCAATTGAATTTTATCCCGATCGCACATTTGGTTGTGTATATATGATCAAAAATCCTTATTACGGGTGTCAAACTGCTTAAATAACTGAATTTTACTGGTCACTATCAAACGTGCCTGAGTGTTTAGTCAATGGTTAAACAAAACTTAATATAAAGTAGTTTGAAGTTAAAATTGGACGAAAATAGCTCAAAAATAGGTGCATTGCTTACATTTGAGCTCTGACAACTACTTATAGCCCCTAAGGTCATGCACGCAGTTTGATTCTGTGTCTGTCTTTGTCGACTATTTGACGTTTGCATTTGAACTAATTTCCTTCCTAGTTGCAGTTTTCACCAATGCTTGTTTTATAATGTCACCACTCAGACATGCTCCAGGTGCCTCTGCAATAGTTTCCAGAATATGAAATGAAGCTTTTTAATACTATACGAGAAAGAAACTGGTAGGTGGATTAATCAGAGTAATTTTTCGAATCTTCTTGCCTATAGATTATTGCACAGATAGATTTGACTTAACTTTTCTGACTTATCAAGGAGCCTGTTAGAAATTAAATCGAAAGAATATGTCAGCTTGTGATCAATTTTCAGATTCTGAAACTCTTGTAAAATGTGCACTATTGGATGTCCTCAGGCTATTACACTTCAATCCTGATTTGGAATCCGAGCAATGCCGCCGATGCAGTCTTTTGGTGTGATACATCCATTTTGAGTTGAATTCGACTCAAAATTGCAAAACGTGGCTTTACTCAGTGAATTACTTAAATGTGACACGATTTTCCTCAAAAATCGGTTCGAATATCTGGAAAATCGACGAATTATTTTACTCTTCCACTGAGTAACCCCATTCTGAACTCAATGTTGAGTTACTGGCATCCTCATCGGCCGTGTGAGTGATCATTCTTCTAAGCAATGTTGAATAAGGGTGATTAGCAGTACTGAAAGAATCCAACAGTCACATACAGCTTGAGTTAAGGACATTTATGTGTCAATTAATTTCAAGATTAACGTGTAAAAGTGGCAAAAACAAACAAGTGAAACTTACCCAAGTAACAATTTTAGTTTTATTAAGGTTATGTTGACCATGATTCATATTTTCAGAATGTTTTAAAACCACGATAAAACTTGAAATCTTACTTGCACACTTAGAAAAAAATATGTAAATTTAGGTGCTCTAAGACTGACATATACGAGCGTCAATTTTGACACAAAATTGAGTCATAATAGACGCGAAATTCAGCTCAATCAAACGTACTTTTGAACTTTTCAGTCTCGAAGCACTTAATTTTACATGACATGTTTGTTTACGTCTCATCCTTTATGTCAAAGATGGATTCCGTCACGTGTAAAATTAGCTATTTGTAAGTGTGTGAGTAATTTGGCCAATTGTTGAAACAATTTACTTGTTATGAGAGCATTTAATTCTGAAAAGGAAATGAATTAATGTTACGCCATACTTACAATTAAGTACTATAACTATTATTTTTCCCCCGCACCCAGGTCCCATACACCGTCGAGAAGCCCGTCCCCGTTCCGGTCAAGTTCCCCATTGATCGCCCATACCCGGTGACCGTCGAGAAGCACATCCCAGTGGAGAAACCCGTCCCAGTGCCGGTGAAGGTTCCGGTTGCCGTTCCCGTGTACTCTCCGAAATACCACCACCACCACCAAGAACCTCTGCAGCACCATTACGATACCAGCTACACGAGCTTCAGCGGCTACGGACACGATTACAGCTATCACCATTAAGCACCATTATTGGACGGAACTGTCACTGCCAGTAAAAGTTAACCACCACTCATCATCACCACCACCAACGATCGCGGAACACTCCATCCCGTGAAACCAAGCAAAAACTGCACCTGAAAACAAGAAACTCAAAACAATGCCACCTTAATTTGTTACCAAGTTTTTAAAGTTTTCATTTTTCTTCAAAGCAACTCTATTCTTTCATAGTTTTCTTTCATAGTTTTGAATAGCTACCGCGAGGGCTTCGATATATCGCCGCCGCTTCCCTTCCTACCCCGTTCGTTAAATGTATTGTTAAGCGATTATCGATTCCTCTCGCATCAATCCCGCCCGTTCAAGGCCACTGGCCACCGAACCCTGAGCGAGCAACCTGAACCAAAAAATGTACGTAAAACAAACCACAAAACCGATTACGAAATCGAAAGTTACCGCAACGTGACCCACTCCCGAAAAAGTTCAGATTTTGATCCACCCGTTGGTCCCTGTTCCTCCTGATATTCCCGCATAAGAAGCAAACAAAAATCATCACCGACTTTTTTTGTCTAAGTTATTTTTAGTGTGTACAACTGAAATGTGATTCTTTTTTATGATAACAATTTTTGTTGAAAAAGAAAGCGAAGGCGATGAACGACGAGCGTGGAAGTGAACGATAAGCTACGTGAAGGCGCTGCTTGACTTTAATAAATGTGTATTTTTATGTATATATAAGTTGAAAACGGAAAATAAAGAAAAATCTGTAATTAATGTTTATAATGAAGCTTTTGGTGTTGCGAGTTTCTTTTTTCAAGATGATGATTTCAGAACTATTGCGGCTAGGGCAAATTTTCTTAATGGGAACAGTCAGCTCGTAAAGAAGCTTAATATGACAGTTCCCACGATTTGTGTCATACTTTGTTTGCAAGGGTGACATCAGTTCTAAGCAACAACAACAACAACATCAACAGCAATAGCGACTCTAAAGGAAGGTGTGTTCCATTCGCGGTAGTGCATAAATCTTGCATAACAATCGAGGTAACGGAGCAGACCATGCACAACTTCCTCCCATCATCCATCGCATCGTGTCTCACGTGTCTGGTTTGTTTGAATGTTCAACAACTTGTTCTGTGCTTTTGTTCTTGTCTGAGAAAAACGCCCCTCGAGTCCCATCCATCATCGTTGAATGTGGTGTGAGGCTGCAGTAACAACGTAAGACCCAATTGTAATCCGTCGGTCGGCGCACATCAGTAGTTACGGGTCGTCGATATATGGAATAGTTTCAACTTTGTTCAATCATGCTGATTGTTGCTTGATGCTTATTTGATAATCCAAGCAAGACCGGTGGCTCATGGGAAGATGTTACCAAAAGGTCAAAACGTGCACGTACCTACCCTACTAGTGTTCTTACCCAAGAACGAGAACATCACCATCCAAGTCGTGAGCTTTTTTTCATTCAGTGCAATAATCCAGCTTGAAGATCGGAATCGACGCAATGACGGTGGTGGGAGGTGCGGCACCTGAACGTTTCCATTGAATGGATAATTTTCTTGTGCTCTTTGTCGAGGGTGGTCTAATTGATGCATGGCGATGGTGCTGGAGTGGGGTGGCGGATTGCCTGCGGTAGACACTTCTGTGGGAAGGTCGATTTTATGCAATCGAAAGTGCTGCTGGAAGGTCTCCGGGGTCTTGTTGTATACCAAGTGAAGATGAGTTTGTGCAAAATTTGTGTTTTCGGTGTCCAGTTAGAGTGCTTTAAATAAAGATGCTCTTTGTTTGATGCTTGAGCTAGTCTAGTAGTTAGGGTGAGTATAGTAGAGGGGAATTTCGGTACATTTTCATGGTCAGAGTTTGTTGAAGTGACGATAACGAAACGGTACAGGAAGGTTGTAAAATTTACATTACAATTATTATTACAAAGAACAATTAATTATTCTGATTACAGTGAATGTCAATTTTGATGAGAAAAAAAATATTACAAATTCATTGGAAAAGATTTTCGTTTGTTCAAATTAGGAATAGTGGTGGTTTTGGAATCAAGTAATTTATATTTAATTTGTTTAAAAAGTTACTTAAACTTGAGCAAAGAAAGGGTGCTCAACAAGCGATGCGTTCTGGTAGCATTCTACTCGGACTTTCTATGTGCACTCACACTATGCGCTAGTGCTCGCCAATGAATAGTGGAGTGACTTTCTGATTCGAAGTTTCATTTCTGTTCTGTGGTGATGGGTCTTTAAGCCGATTGGGTTACTAGTCCTAAATTTAATAGTTTTTCGCTTTTCAAAGTTCGGCATTATTATTCTTCCAGTTGAAGTTCCTGCAACAAAAGCATATACCATTGTGTTGATGTGCAGTTTATCGAAGGTTTCACCATTTTTGGTTCCAAATTCAAAATAAATTACATTTTATTTTAACCTAGGTGCTCCAGTTACTACAGTAACTAACCAGCCTTAATTGTTATGATATGTATCTTAGTGTTTTTACATTGTTTCTGCCTGGGCAATTCAATATTTTACAAAGGTTTTTTTTAAAACCTGGATGTCAGTATAACAATATACATCTTAAAACTAAAAACTAAATCTTATCTAGGTATAAAGGGAATTAATCGTTGCAATTGAGGATTGCAACGATTTTTGCCTGAAATTATTAATTATTTTGTTGGACATTTGTTCTAAAGTCTCAACATTCGAAATTCTATGTACTTCGGTCCCTACTGTACCAGGGAGGCAACTTCAAAATCATCTTCAGAACTTTGTTCTGAAACATTTGAAGTGCATTTTTCCTGGTAGTGCAACAACTAGACCATATTGGCACAGCGTAAAGCATGGCCGGTCTAAAAACTTGTTTAAATATTAGAAGTTTATTCGTCAGGCAAAGTTCGGATTTCCTGGTTATAAGAGGATACAAACATTTTATATATTTGTTACATTTGGCTTGAATGCCCTCAATGTGATCTTTAAAAGTTAATTTTTGGTCAAGAACTAATCCAAGATATTTCACTTGGTTTGACCAGGAAATTGGAACTCCGTCCATAGTGACTATGTGACTACTACCAACAATCAATTCGAAACTAACGATTGTAAATTGGCTCACTACTTGACTAGCCTATTGGTCCCAAGCAAATCGATTAACGAACCCCATTCTAGTCAAAATTCTAGTACTACACAATGTTTGTTTTGATTCGCTATGAAAGTTTGACAGATAAAATGAGGGGTTAGTGGATTTTTCTATGTTTCGAGGGGTGAATCGATTAGGTTGGGACCGAAGATAGTACCAGAGCTGAGCTAAAAAGTTGAGCACGTTTATTCGGGACCTTCTGGTCTTAGAGTTACCTCTATGCTACTACTGGGTTTCAAAAAGGAAGCTCTAGGCTTATGCGGAAGTACTATAAGTGTTGGAAAAGTTGAGAGAAATCTTCCATTTTTGTAGATAAGAAAAGAAAATATCTAAACTTTTCTGCAGTCTGCTGCAAATAATACGAAGGCTTCTTCCTTTAGAGGAAGTGCCTGTGTCATCAGCGAACAAAGATTTGTGGCAACCCTGAGGCAAATCAGGGAGGTCCGAAGTGAAAATGTTATACAATATAGGCCCAAGAATGCTACCCTGAGGAACTCCTGCTCTAACAGGTAGTCGATTAGATTTGGAATTTTGATAATTTACCTGCAGAGTTCTGTCAGTTAAATAATTTTGAACTAATTTCATAATGTAAAGTGGAAAATTAAACTTTTTCAATTTAGCAATCAAACCTTCATGCCAAACACTGTCGAATGCTTTTTCTATGTCTAGAAGAGCAACTCCAGTTGAGTGGCCTTCCGATTTGTTTGAAAGAATTAAATTTGTAACTCTTTAGAGTTGATGAGTAGTTGAATGCCCATGGCAAAATCCAAACTGCTGATCTGTAAAAATCGAGTTCATTCTATATAAAATTACCTTTTCAAAAAATTTACTTATTGAAGAAAGCAAACTTATTGGATGGTAGCTAGAAGCATCAGCTTGATATTTATCCGGCTTCAAAATTGGAACAACTTTTTCATTTTTGTATTTATCATGAAAGTATGTTAAATGGAAACATCTGTTGAATAGTTTTACCAAGAAAGACAAAGTACTCTCTGGGAGTTTTTTTGGTGAGGATATAGAAAATTCCATCATCATCTGGAGCTTTCATATCATGAAACTTTTTAGTTATAGATCTTTCTTCGTCCAAATCAGCCCCCCAGGAATCATCAAAAATATTTTCCCGAGAGAAAATATTCAGATAATCCCGAGCAACCTGATTCTCAATAGGACTAGTAAGACCCAAGCTGGAATTATGTTCCTCATGGCAGAGAATCGCTTTTTAATTTCCCGCCAGATAATTTTCATGGCAGGATCGCGTGTTCTTTGATATTGTCTCCTACGGACATTTTTAAGACGGATCAAGAGTTGAAGATCGTCGTCTATTATAATCGAATCGAATTTAACCTCGCATTTTGGTACTGAGGCAGCTCTTGCTTCAACTATAGAAGTAGTCAGAGATTCAAGAGCATTATTAATTTCATCTTTGGTTTGCAAAGGAATGTTTGGATCGAAGTTATATTCCATAAATGTTCAATATTGCTCCCAATCAGCTCTACGGTAATTGAAAGTAGAGATGTTGGGATTAGAAATTATTTCTTGTAATATTTCAAAAGTTACTGGAAGGTGATCAGAACCGAAGTCAGCATGGGTAACCAATTGGCTACAAAGTTGACATGAATCAGTTAAGACCAAATCAATAGTTGAGGGATTTCTTGCTGAAGAAAAGCATGTTGGGCTGTTTGAATATTGAATAGTGTAATAACCTGCAGAACAATCATCAAACAGAATATTGCCATAGGAATTGCTGTGAGCATTATTCCATGACCGGTGTTTTGCATTAAAATCACCAATGATAAAGAATTTAGACCTATGACGGGTAAGTTTCTGAAGGTCACCCTTGAGAAAATTCTTTTGCTGGCCTACGCATTGGAATGGCAAATAGGCAGCTATAAATGTAAGTTGTTCAAATTTTGTTTCAACAGAAACTCCCATAATTTCAAAAACTTTGGTTTCAAATGAAGAAAGAATTTTATATTTGATTCGTCTATGAACAATGATGGCAATGACACCACAGAGCCCATCAAGACGATCATTTCTATAAATGAAATATTTTGAGTCCTTCTTAACCTTATGGCCAGGTTTAAGGAACGTTTCAGTTTGAACTCTCAAAAAGTTAAATAGCTCGTCTTTATTATCTTTAAGAGATCGAGC